AAAAAAAAGAGGAAGAAATAAATAAATAAATAATTCTGAAAAAGTTGCATGGGAGTTGTTGATTTAGTTACAGTCATACAAGTACATATGTATCCGGTAAAATACCCATCCTTTCAGCAAAGTCACCTACAGGTGCTTGCTTCTCTAAACTCACCATATCTTGCTGCATTTGGCTCTATGATTTCTTTTATACATTATCAGATCCTGATTTAAAAAGCAGAGAGAAATACAACGACATTTGTAGTAGACTAAGACATTTGTAGTAGACTAAGGATGGCTTAGGGTGAAAGTTCCTATAGGACTCTTTTTTTTGTTTTGTTGGGGTTGGTCCTCACATAATGCTCTGCTACACATAGGAAAATGTTCTTTTGCACTCATATCCTAACTCTGTGATATAACTTGGTACGACCATGGGAGTAACATAAAACCACAATAACAAGAACGACACCTTAAACATGCAATTGATGTTTTCTTCCTTTTCTGCTTTTTGAATGCCCTCAGTTTTAAAGCTTGTTTTTTATATCTTTCATTAGCAACTGTGGGCTATATGGCTTTTATGATAATGTCTTTCTTTTTTCTGCCATTGGTTTAAAATCTACAATTTTTGGATGGTTATGTAGGGTTATGAGATCATGGAAGTGAATGTGATTATTGGATTGGTAAAGAGCAAAATGTGGTTATGAGTCTTACAACATCTCTTTTTGCAAGAGCTCTATCTGTGCTTTATAGTTTTTTTGGGGGGGGAGAGAGGAAGGGGTTTGAACCCTTGACCTCAAGAAGGCAAAACCTTCACAAGATAAAGAATACCATTGGACCAAAGACCCATTGGTCTTTATAGTTATTCAACTTATTCTCATCTTAAATCACAGTTTTCTTAACAAACAGAGGGCACCTTTACCCTTCTTCATTTATCTTGCCATATTATGTTAATATGTTATATTTGTCTGGAAATGTCAGAATGTCCTGTTACAGCATTTGTATCCAGCATCCGCCACAATTTATGTTTCCCTCTGAGCAGGTCGGCTGACTGCAAAGTGTGATGTCTATAGCTTTGGAGTTGTGTTGTTGGAGCTGCTTACAGGGCACCGTGCTTTTGATGAAACTAGGGTTAGTGCAGAGCAGAAACTGGTCGATTGGGTAAGGCCCCAGTTGCGTGACAAGCGCAAGTTATACCGAATCATGGACACGAAGTTGGAGGCCCAGTACCCTCGAAAAGGAGCTTATGTGGCAGCCACTCTTGCATTACATTGTGTAAACATTGATGCCAGAGCTCGGCCTCCTATGGCTGATGTCTTAGCTATTTTGGAAAAGCTTCCATCCCCGAAATTTATGGCCATACATTCCCCTTCAGAGCAAAAAAACGAAGTCTAGCTGTCTACCCAAGTTCCCATTAATACATGGCTATCCTTCACCTTTAACCATTCTCCTCGAGGGTCTCATTTCTCAGCCCCAGTGGTCTCTTTTGCCACCCTTTCTAAAAATCTCTGCAGGGGCGATGAACACCAGCAGATGAACAATTCAATTGAGTTTTTCAGTTTCATTTCTTTTTTGGTGCTTGTAGCAACTACAGTAGACTTATCTTTGTAGAATAATTTATGGAGATAGTAAGCTTATAATGCAAATAATATCATGCATGCTGGAGAAACTTGAACTTGATCATGAGATCAGCATTGTAGATGTCATCATTTTGGCCATCATCATCATCATTTTGACACATTCATGTTAGAGATATGTAAACTTGCATGATCAACCTTCTGTGGCTTGTCTAAGGTGGTTGATTGCCCATAGTCATCATACTTTTAGATGTGGCATCAATCATGCAGTAGCTTTTATTTTTTTTCTGTTTATGGTATGTTTAGAACGATTATTTGTATATATTTTTGGTAGTTCTTGAAGGAAGATTTTGAGCTCTAAGGCCCCCACGACAAACGAACCCGTGGGTGGGGCATTTTTGGGGAGTAGCCTGCTTCTCATTACTCAATGAGTAATTCTTTGCATATAATTAAGGGAGTCATTGAAAAGTGACTAAAACATCATAAATTGGTACTACTCGAGTTAATGATAGAGATAAGAACATTTTATAGTCAAGTCTCGTTAATTGATTACAATGATATTGTGGAATTGTTGTATATATATGTAAGAATGGAAACATAATTTCCTTGATACTAAACCAAATTGAGCTTGAGATCTTCTTGGAAATGAAAATATCTATGATAGGCGGTCAACCTCTTGGAGAGAGCGATGTGCAAGGACCAGGTGAGTAGGGATGCAGATCCGTAGACTACTCGTTGAGTCCGATAGGTGGTGGTATCATGCCCTTACAAAAAAAAATTATTACTTAGGTATATATGTTATATGTTTGTACAATATATTACTTTTGTCCACCCAAAATTAAAGACATATATATTATATGTTTGTACAATATATTACTTTTGTCCACCCAAAATTAAAGACAGAAATGCTAAACCCACCACCATCCACCTAAAAGAATTAAAAAATTAAAACCACTAAAAACAAAAAAAAAAAACTTGGTCAATATTATTGAAATTTGAGTGTCATACAAAAAATTACAAACTTAATCATATTAAGTTGCGACTCAAATAGATCGAGTTACGATTCAATGGAATTGAGTTAGGATTGACCCCTAAAACTTGAGATAAATATCAAATTATTAAAATTTGGTATTGATCCAATTTTATAACTGACTGAGTTGTCAGTTGATTATGATGTCTCATATCTTCTTAATTTCTTTTGAGTATGGTATGAAGTTTTAGATTTTTCTATAATATTTGTAGTCATATAGATAATAAATAATAAGCAGTGTTGTAAAGACAAATAGAATAATGAGACAAGTTTTTTATTTTATTAAGGTTTTCTCCAAATGACCTTAATTTTATTAATTATGAATTTTGCAAGTAAAAGTTCATGCAATTGACTTTCATTTAACTTTCTTTTTTCTAGGAGAAATCATCTTTATTTTTATTCGAGTATTAATTATAGTCTTTGATGGGTCAAGCTCAAATAGTCCAATTTATGTAAAAAGCTCAATCTCAATTAAAGAGCCCAACCTTATAAAGACCCACCAAGTCCAATATGGTCAAAGTCTAGTCAAAATCATAAGCTTGACTACGTCATTAAGAGAGAGCACGGGAACCTTACCTACACTATCGAGGAAACAGTCTACCCTTAGCTCATCCTTGACCGCATTTCATAGAGAACGCTTCAACCACCTCGCTCGTTGAGAGGAAGTTGTGAGCTCCACCAAAATAGTTGCTTAGTTGTTGTAAAATAGCCTTAACCCGTTAGGGGGCCACTGTAAATTGTACGCCCTACCAACACTCGGGGGACATCATCACACTTTTACCTGAGCACGACTCTCTCCTCTTCCTCCAAACTTGTACTTTCTGCTCTCTACACCCTTGAGTTAATAAAAGTACACGGTGATCGAAACCATTCAAGAGTGAACGTAGGTCACACTAACCGAACTACTATAATTCTTGTCTTCTCTTTTTACTGATTAATTACTGCATTCATTACTCACACTCAACAGGTGGTGTGCAAAGCTATTTTGTGCATCATCAGTTTGGNTGGAGGCCACAAATATTGATTGTGTATCTACTGAGTCCGACTGGATGACCCAAATCAGGACATACCTCCAAGAGGGTGTGCAACCAGATGATCCCTTAGAGGCCAGGAAGCTAAGGATAAGGGCCTCCAAGTTTGACATCTTGCAGGACACTCTATACAAGAGAGGCTATTCCTTGCCATGGTTACGATGTCTTTCACCTGAAGAAGCTCACTATGCCTTGCGAGAAATCCACGAAGGGATCTGTGGGAATCACTCTGGAGGGCGTTCCCTTGCCCACAAGGCGCTTAGACAGGGCTACTTTTGGCCTACCATGATAAGGGACGCCCAGGGGTTCTCCAAAAAGTGCGACAAGTGCCAACGCTTTGCGACTGTACCAAGACAACCACCCTAGGAGCTAACAACCATTTCAAGCCCATGGCCTTTCTCCAAGTGGGGCATCGATATCCTAGGCCCCTTGCCTCTCAACAAAGGGCAGTGCAAGTTCGTGGTGATGACAGTTGACTATTTCACCAAGTGGTCAGAGGCAGAACCTTTAGCAAAAATCACAGACGCAAAGGTCAAAGATTTTATCTGAAAAAACTTGGTCTGTCGCTTCGGGATTCCCCATGCCATTGTCAGCGACAACGCCAAGCAGTTTGACAACAAGCTGCTGAACTCTTTCTGTTCTGACCTTCAAATAAAACAACCTCACTCCAGCCCGGTACATCCACAAGCAAATGGACAAGTAGAGGTCATGGTAAGAACGGTGCTATGCAATTTAAAGACAAGGCTTGAAAAACAAAGGGCCTTTGGGTAGAGGAGCTGCCAGGCGTACTGTAGGCTTATCGAACCACGCCAAGAACCCCTACTGGGGAGACTCCTTTTTCCCTCGTCTTTGGAACCGAGGCGGTCATCCCTGTGGAGATAAGGGTACACTCCCTAAGGGTCCAACACCACGATCCCATCACCAATGAGGAAGGACTCCGCAGTAACCTCGACTTGGTGGAGGAAGCGAGGGAGATGGCTGTAGTCCGCAACGCGGAATATAAACGGCGCATGACAAGGTACTACAATTCGAGGGTGAAGCCCCGTTCCTTCCAACTTGGGGATTTGGTCCTCAAAAAAGTGATCCTCGCTACAAATGATGCACGCGAAGGAAAGCTAGAACCAAATTGGGAAGGGCCCTACCGTGTAACAGAAGTAGTGGGACCAGACACCTACAAAATCCAAGATTCTGAGGGAAAAGTTTTACTCCACCCATGGAATGCAGAGCACTTGAAAAGGTATTACCAATGACACCTTGAGAGCATCAAAGCAGTAGAAATTGGGACTTGATTTGATTTTTAGGGGTGTTACCCAAGATTTCTATGTTTTTTTTTTGGGAATTATTACCCAATATCGCTTTTTATAAGCAATAAATTAATAAAATTTTCTATGCCATTTACTCCAAAAAGATTTTCTGTATTTCATTTTAAAGAAGTATCGGTACAAAAATAAGGCCAAGTACCGCCTTTTCAAAAAAAATAAAAATCAAAAGTCCCAAACACTCTAACTGCTCTCATGGTCGTCCCCCACCTCCTCCTCATTGTCATCAACAGCATCAGATCCCTCCTCATCACTGTCGTCAGTGGGCACGAAAGGTGAGAAGTCAATATTAGGGAAAGCGGTAGAAACCTTCCCTCGGAGATCCTCGAAACCATCAATAAAAGCATCTGCAAGACCATTCTCCAAGTCTTCCTCAGCACGGGAAACTCTCTCCCTAGCAGCCGTCAGCTTTGCCTCTGCAACAGCTGCCTCTCTGAGCATGGCCCTCCCATGGGCCTCTACAAGCTCAGCCTCTCTGAGCGTGCTCCTCTCGCGGACTGCCAAAAGCTCAGCCTCTAGCTTAGTGGTCCTCTCATGGGCTGAAACAAGCTCACCATCCCTGAGCGCGCTCCTCTCGCGGACTGCCAAAAGCTCAGTCTCTAGCTTAGTGGCCCTCTCATGGGCTGCAGCAAGCTTACTATCCCTGAGCGCGTCCCTCTCGCGGGCCGTCAAAAGCTCGGACTCAAAATTAGAAGCCCTTTCATGAGTTGCCACAAGCTCACNCTGCATGGAAAAAATGAGCACACACGCATAAAAAAAAAAGGAAAAAGAAGAAGTGTGCAGCATACCGGGTTTTTTAGCAGCACCCCAATGTGTTGGCACCAAAGCTCTGTCGACTTCTGAAGCCCATTCTCCACCAATAAAGAAAAAATAAGATTTCCAGCCGCTGCAATTAGAGCGCGTTCCTGTAAGCACTGTACCACTCCGTNTCCCTTTGTACAAGGCTAAGATCCAGCTTCAGCTTGTCTTGATTATAGGCCCTTGAAAGCAAGCAGATGGAGGAAGACGAAACCTAAAAAAAAAAAAAGGGAGAGACAAGAGATTAAGAAAAGTCAAAAACACAGGAAACGACTGGAGAAAGGGAAATAGCAGACCCTTACCTGAGCCAGACCTTCCAAATANCAAGGAAAAGTAATGCAAAACACGACAAATGGGGGAGGACATGGAAAATCTTAACCCAGCCTCAAGTATCTCCTTGTAGACAACAATATCCCCGGAAGAGTCATGGCAAACAAGCTCACCCAACTCAGCCCGACGGCACAACACGGTCGAAGGGATGCGATAAATAAAAACAAGCCTTGAAATATCTTCATCTAAGCAGAACAAACTAGAAATGGTGCTCACCTTAGACCCGTTATCATCAAGTCCCATTTTGCTCTTGCGTTTCTTCTTCCGGGGCCTTAAGGAGTAGTCCAAATCACCATTGAGAGAGTCTTGAGGAACTTGAATCGGGGGAGCTACAATAGGGGCTTGATCATCAAGAGCAGCACCCAAAGCTTCCTTACTACTTGCAATGTCTAGCCCAACACCTAGAAGTGTGCCTGACTGCCGTTGCTCGTCAAAACAAAGTTGCCCAGTAGCTTGAAGGGTGCCTGACCCTTTAAAATTGTGCAAAGCAGAATTTTCGGCGCAAAAATCAGCACCTAAGGCGCCCAAATCAACGCCTCGAGTGGGAATCGGATCAGCCCGTGCTCCCAGGCCACTGCCTAGCTCTCTCTGATGAACTTTGGACTGATTTTCAGCACCCCTTGATGGAAAAATGCTGCTGCCCAGCATTCCAAAGCCGCCCAGCGCAGCAGAATTGAAGCTGTCCAGCGCAGCTGAGCTGTCCTGGATAGCAGAAGCAGCAGCCAAGCTGCTACCCAGCGCGCCTAGGCTGTCTAGGACAGCAAGGCCAGCGCCTAGGCAGCTGCCCAGCGCGCCTGGGCTGTCCAGGACAGGAGGAGCAGAGCCCAGGCAGTCGCCCAGCCCCCCACCGCGTGCGCGCTGCCCAGTTGCACCCCTGCGCTGCCCAGTTGCGCGCCCATCCGCTTCCCTTCGCTGCCCAAGCCACTCCTCGCGCTGCCCATCTCCCCTTCGCTATCCAGCCCTTCATTTACAGCCCCAAAGCTGTCCAAGACAGCATTTGAATGCTCAAAACCAGCCTCCAAGTTCTCCAAAATGGTGCCTACTTCCTCCATTTCTTCAACCTGCACCACTCCCTCTTCGATCGACATTGTTTACTTGAGAAGCTCAACTAGTAAGGAAGAAATCACACTCTTGAAAAAATTCAAGGAGAACACACTTTGGCTTCAACAAAATGGGTAGTATTTGAGTTCTCAAGGTTTTCAAGAGGTGGGTGCTCAACCTTAAAAATGAGTGAAATGGGTAACATGAAGAAGAAGACTATATTTATAGTCTAGGGTTTTTCAAAGAGACGGAAAAAGCCCAAATATAAAATTATGGGTCCTTTTCAAAATAAAAAGGTCAAATAGAATATTATGGGTCCTCTTCAAAATAAAGTGGGAAAGACTTGAATTTTAAAATAATAATAATAATAATAATAATAATATAGTCAATGCCTCATTCTCCAAGTCTCATTGGACATGGGGCATTGGGGGGCAAATGATGGGTTAAGCTCAAATAGTCCAATTTATGTGTTAAAGTCCAACCCTAGTTGAGGAGCCCAACCTTATTTTGAATCCACCAAGCCCAAGACAGTCCAAGACCGGTTAGACTTTTTGCTTAGCACGTCATCAAGAGGAGAGCATGGGAAGCTCATCTGCACCACCGAAGGAAACGGTCCAATCTTTGACCGCGTTTCATGAAGAGCTCCCCAACCTCCTCCTTCCGTTGAGGATAAGTCGTGATCTCTACCAAAATGATCTTTTAGTGCTATAAAGTAGCCTTGAGGATAAGTCATGATCTCCATCAGAATGATCTCTTAGCTGCGATAAAGTAGCCTTGAGGATAAGTCATGATCTCCATAAGAGTGATCTCTTAACTGCTATAAAGTAGCCCCAATCTGTTAGGAAACGACGATGAATGTCACGCCCCACCAACACTTATAGAGGACAGACCGACGACCGGAGACCACTGTTTCTTTGATTCTCCATTCTCTTAAAGCTTGTATCTCTATTCTCCATACCTTTGAATTAATAAAATACCTGGCAACTGAAGCCATTGAAGAGTGGACGTAGGTCGAATTGACCGAACCACTATAAATCGTGTTTTCTTTAATTTTCTCATTGATTTCACTGTATTTATTACATACACTTGACAAGTGGTGTACTAAACCATTTTTGTGCATCATCAGCATCGATTCATTTGCATTCCTTACAAAATAGCCACCCAATATACCTAACAGTCACCCAATATAATGGATAGATCCATACAAGAGCCACCTAATAGTCACACAATAGTATGAACACATTTTTTGCTTAAACTAGAAACGTTGCTAACCATTTTAAGTGACCTTCAAAATGTTTACAACCCCATAGAGATCAAAATGGATGTTAATTTTCTGCAACTAGTGGCTTATAATATTTTCACATCGAGAAATTCTTACTATACATTTATGAAACAAATGGTTGACCAAATCATCGGTACAACTTATTTAAAAACATAATGTATTCATTTAAGGAGACAAGTAAATCAAACTGGACTTCAAATCATGAGACTTGCAAGACAGAGCATATAGTCTGTATGATAGTTAGCAGAAGTAACAGAGTAACACCAAAAAGTGAAATGACAGACCACGGGCTGTTGAAATAATTACGCCTTAATTTAGCCATCCATATGTGTCGACGACGTTTGCAGTGCTCGTTTACTTTGTTGAAAACTTCTGAATAACAGAAAGTTGTTTCATCTAAGACAATATTATTGCCCAATTTGTTCAACATGGTCGAGACGGCTTCATCGTTTCCTAACCAATTGTCAATGATTCCACGGTGATGTAGTATTTCAGCATCCTTAGGAGTATTGACGAGGCAATTGAAAAACATCACATAATGAGTCACATAAGCTGGTTCACTTCTGTCCTTATATTGCTCATAAGCAATCATATTTCTAAAGGCAATTTCTGTACTATCACCAATTCTCAAAGGTGGGATTTTGATGATTCCATTTTCAAACTTTATATCCATTAACGAGGAACTTTCCGTAGCCTTTTCAAATTTAATACCGGCCTCTCGAAGGTCTGTGGAGCATTTTATGAATTCCCATCTAATACCTTGGTTAGCAAAGTTCCCACGAGAAGACAACGTTGCAGCAAATGAGGAACACCAAGACTCGTATACAAGGCCTAGTACATGATCGACATCATGGCTTGGAACACTGGAACGGTTGAAAGTAAATTGAGCGAAGAACATCAAGGTTGAGGAAAATATGTTTCTTTCTTGGTTTGGATTATTTGTCATGTCGAATAAGAGCACAAGGACAAAGAATGGGAGTTGATTTTCAAATAACAATAAATCTCGACGTAAAATGTTGCCGAACTTGTCCAATTTAAAAATAGGATCATCCTCATATGTGCCATCCTCAAACTTGCGAAATAACTCAATTATNGTCGAACTTTTCCAATTTTAAAATAGGATCATCCTCATATGTGCCATCCTCAAACTTGCGAAATAACTCAATTATAAAGCACCCGTCAAAAAGCATCATTCGCACAAACTCATCCTTCCCAAGTCCAATAGACTCTGCATAAGATTTTCGTGTTTTTTCTTCCAAATCTTGCATAGCATTGACATATCTATCTACACTTGACTCATTTCTTCGCTTAAGCAACAGTTGTAGGTTCCGTAGTTTATACTCTTCCATCATTTTCAGGTTACTTTTACCGTGGTGATAAGGACCGATTGCAAGCATTTCTGGTTCATAGGCTTTCACATTTTCCCTACGTAGTGGGCCATCCACTCTGAAGATGTAGGGCTCAAAGGGCGTGGACGATAANTAACATATCTATCTACACTTGACTCATTTCTTCGCTTAAGCAACAGTTGTAGGTACCGTAGTTTATGCTCTTCCATCATTTTCAGGTTACTTTTACCGTGGTGATAAGGACCGATTGCAAGCATTTCTGGTTCATAGGCTTTCACATTTTCTCTACGTAGTGGGCCATCCACTCTGAAGATGTAGGGCTCAAAGGGCGTGGACGATAAAGAAGCAAGCTCGTTGTTGATGGTATTAGACAACCGGCAGCTCATTTGCTATCCCTTTTCAAATTAACAAAGGCTGGGCAAGCAAATACCTAAGAATTTGTCCAAAGATACCCTGTTTTTCATCCACGAACTCAAGTGAGATATAATAACTACAAAACAAATTACCAAAAAGATTTCAAATGAANTGAAATTAACAAAGGCTGGGCAAGCAAATACCTAAGAATTTGTCCAAAGATACCCTGTTTTTCATCCACTAACTCAAGTGAGATATAATAACTACAAAACAAATTACCAAAAAGATTTCAAATGAAACAAGGTTTGGCATAATGCGAACTTGTAAATACACACATGGGAAATGTTTGGCGTAGAAGTCCCCCAACCCAGTAAAAAACGTCACAATAGCTTTCCAATATTTGTAATTAGTTTTTTTTTTTTTTAAAGAAATGCAATACGAAGACTTCCTAGGGAATCACTCATTCTAATATTATTTTCGTCCAAGCATGCTAAACTGCGGAGTTCTAATAGGATCCGGTGCAATAATATTGGTATAATTGCACCCTATTTGTAATTAGTTCTTTACTTTGAGTTTAGTTTTTGTAAATATATGCCGGTGCACCTTTGGTCATCTTGATCATATTTTTGTCCTTTTGAATGTGGGTAAAGGAAAATAAAAAAAAGAAACAGAATATGGGTTAATGAGCAATTTGAAATATGAAAATGTAACCAGATTTTAGTGGCATGAAATTTGAATATAGGGGGTGGAACTGTACAAATAATGTAAAATTTCTTCAAATTTGGGATAATTACATTTTACCCCCTTAACTATGACTTTCTTTTCATATTACCCCCTCAATTATCATGTTTTTCATATTGCACCTTCAACTACTATATGATTATTTTTACTATGCCCCAATAACAAACATTTGTTACAAATTGGATGGAAAATTGTGTCATTTTGTTGCTCGAGCTATGTGACTTTTTTAAGTTTGTTCTGATATGTTGACAATTTATGTCTAAAAAAATAACTAATATTTGTGTTTGGAGCAATGTAAAATAATTGAAGTAGATAGGGGACAATATGAAGAATTCAATAGTTCAAGAGAAATGGAATACCTCATTTCCTTCTTTTCTCTTGCCAAAAGTTTAGTTTGCCCTCCTATTTCAATTTTTAGAGAAATTCTGCAAAGTGCTAGTTTCATAACGGATGTTGCCTTAAACTTTTTTTCTTTGATATAGTAGATCACTATTTCAATGAATAATTTGATCTTAAAACTTTTAAATTATGCATCTATAACATATATAAAAGTAAGCACAAATGAGTAAAGGGAAGTGTGAAAAAAAGGATAATATAAAATCTCAATAAAACAAGAAGCTGTAGCGGATGATAGCGGAGAAGAAATAATTCTTTATTTATAGGCAGTGATATTTAGTTGATTTCTTTTTTCTTTTCTTTTTTTGTTTTATAGTCTACATAATTTTTTTATTTGAGTGGTTGGAAATGAGTTGCATGATATCTGGTTCAAAATGAGTGGGAAACAACTACAAACAAAAACAAGAACACATCAGAAATAGAGTGCATTACTTTGCTTACGTGACCATTGTTGAAGTTGTTAAAGTATGATTTGCCTTTCAAATGATTTGCGTAGTTAGACGGATATTTGAAAAAGATAGAGCATAGGAAAACAAACAATGGTTAAGCAATTGTACAACTTACTGATGGATTGCTCCTCTGCTTGGTCTTCTGAGCCGATTAATTTAATGAGGAATGTAAGAAATGTTGATGACAAAGCAAGTATAGAGGAGACATTAATTTATAGTAGGTTAGATTCATTTCCCAGAATTTAAGTAATCCAAGTGGAGCCCAAAGTGAGTTTTCTTTTACAAAAATGAGAGCAAGAACAATAATTGTCACAAGGCAAGTATTTTCCATGTCTAAAAGTGAAGATGTTTTATTCACAGGAACTTCCATTATGAAATCTTTAGCAGAAATGGAGGAGCTCACATAAGTATTTGACTTCGCTTCTCAGTTAAGGTTTTTCCTGGTTTATATATATGTTGCTGGGTTTGAACAATTTTTCGGAATCATACCATCTTGTTTTGTTTAATCAGAAAGTGACAGTGTTAACATTTATTATATATTGTTTCACTTTATTTTACTATTAGCATGATGGTTATGAGTGACTCAAACCAAAATCAACGACTAAGTACCATTTTTCGGAGTGATACTAAAAAAGTGAAATTCGATACTATAACATTATCCATGCATTGCATTCTAAACTTGTACATTCTATACTTGTTTACCACTAAATTCCGTCACACATCACCACATAAATTTGGAAAGATATAAAAATAAAAGAAATGTGTGAGACTTTTAACAAGCAAGACAAATAGTTTACACGAGACAAGTTTGTTCCTTGGGTGAAAGTGATGTTGTTTTCCATAGGAACAATTGAAAGTTTAGAGACCAAATTAAAACTAAATATAAAATTTCAGGGATTAACTATGATTTTTACCCTTTTTGTTCGAAATTCCATGCTGGTTGATTCGGACAAAGGTGATATAACACATTGAATTTAACTGAGTTTCACTTGCTTATATATGATAATTTACTTATATATTACCGATGTATCCAACAGTGCACTGATGGAGACATCTCATTCTTTCCCTGTAGCTCAGAGTCTTCTAAAAGTACACTCAATAAGGGAAAAATACTTGGCTTGTGACAGTTATTATTCTTTTACTCAAATGTCGTGATCGCCTGAAGACTATATACTTTTCATGCATAATTTTATTGTTCAGTTCCGATTCTCTAAAAGTGAGGGCTCCATAATGGGTTAGCTGGTATTTGGCCCCCATTAACAAAAACAGTATTATTGTGAACAACCTAAGGAGAGAATAAAATGAGTTTCTATGCTCTGCTTCATATGTGCATAAACCAAAGAGGCATAGAATAACTTGCCACCAAGATCTTCTGAAGTTGGCCTGATGAACAAAAAGAGGCATAGAACAACCCAGGTCCATATGCTTTAAAATTCGGACCAATACAATCGTGCAATGAGAATGATGTGATTCAACCACATCACCTGTATGAACTCCATGTCCTCGTAAAGCAAAAAGGAGATGTGAAATTGCACACTCGAGCTTACACGTGACTTGAGTGTGCCATTTGACTGGACATTTGGACTTCCTAGACGAATATGCCCTCCACTATAAGACACGTGAACAACTAAAATCTGTGAGAAATCATGACGCTGTTAGGCATGGGGACCATTTAAATTCAAATCGCAAACATTAGAGACTAATATGATACAATTGATACACGGGAACCAAAATAACACATAATGCATAAAATGAGGACTACAAATATAATTAACCTCCCCCC